CCCCAAAACCCCAAAACCCCAAAACCCCAAAACCCCAGAATGATAGCATATATTGAGATTAAGCTATTAATTCATGGGAAAATGTATAATAATTTTAAAATGGAATCTGCCAACTCGAAAAGAGTAAAAAGAAGCGAATTTAAAGAAAGCGAAGTTCTTAATGATAAAATGAACAATGTTCACCTCAGACATTTTGATTTAGAAGATAACCCAGACGGGGCTTCCATCCTCAGTGGGAAGGAAAGAGCAAGAATTCACCGCAAAAGGAAGAAACTTTACTATGAAGGTTTAGAATCCGAAAATAAGACATTGAAGCTTAAAATTGGGGAGCTAGAACAGAAGATAGAAAGTCTTGAAAAAGCTTTAGAAGGAGCCAAGGACAACCCTGTGAACAATGCTATTATTAAATAAATTATCAAACAGCGCGTTCTCTCCTGTTAAATTACCTGAAATAAGTAATCTGATTAAGCTAAAGATGTCTGAGGAGTTCAAGTATGAAGAGTTTCCAAAAATGGTACAAGAAAATCCAACAAAGGTTAAAGATATCAAAGTTGAGACAATAGATGACTCTGTTGGTATTTATGGAAAAGAGAGAATCCAATACCTGAAAGACCAATTCAAGAACATTATTGACAATATAGTCCCGTTCGAGATCAAGATCTGCTTGCTCCTGTTTGATCATATCCCACTATCTAAGTTCTTGAGGATGGTAGGGGGTTCAAGGAACAAGTTTATGGAAAGGAAGACTACAGGTAATCAAATCCTCGACTTAATTATCCAAACTGAGATGTCAGACGAAATCTACCATTTCTTGAAGGAAAAAGGGAAGGAGTTTACTAAAAATATCCAAATGATCAGAAAATTGGTTAGGAGTCTTGTGCACACCAGGAACAAAATTTTTCAGCTTCTAAAGCAATGCAACAGCGAAGATGCTAAGAAGTTGATCTTTAAAAACTACAATATGTTTCCATACACCGACAGAACAAAAGTTGCACAACTCGCTACAAAGATTAAGGAGATGGGTGGCATTGATGACTTCAAAGTCTGGAAAATTGATAAAAGAAGCCAAGGTGATGAATACACCTCTGATATTCAGCTCTCTGAATAACAGATTAATGGTTGTAGAATCTTAAAATATTAACAAAGCAAAATCTCACCCAAAAATTTACCCAAGTCGCGTTATTTTTCTTTATAGAAATTGGATAGTGATGATACAGTCAGATTTTTAAGCTAGTAAATCGCATTTAAGGTTAAGAATACGGGTTCTAATTAATGCTTCGGACATGCTCACCTTTAAACCTCTCCTGATGCCCTCGTGTATAGTTTCTCTGAAGATTGTTCTATTGTAGACCTGAAGCGATGGCTGAATTTAATCTCAAGTCGCTTAATATAATAGCCATTTTGTAGGTATGGGTCATCTTATTTCTCCGCAAAAGTATCAGAAAGTAGGAAAATGTTGTATAAATCATTTATTCAAAGTCGTCACATCCTTCATTGACAATATAACAAATGATTCTCAAATAGAATATATTCGTATTCAGAGATAGTTTGTCTACCAATTTTAGAGCTTCCCTTTAATATCTTACGGGAAGCTACTACATTTGAGCAAACATTTTTGGGTCCTTAAAAGAAAATACTCAAAAATTTAACCGATTTCATGGTAAAATACGCAACTTTTCGGAAGTATTTCACCCAAGGAGTCTTGAAAGGACTCTTTGAACACGTTATTTCAGGAGTTAAAATTTTGGCTGCCTAAAATTTCTGGTACTATTTAATGATAACGCCTGAAATCTTAAGGAGTCAGTTTCACTTTGAGACCAAGAGACTTCAAAGATCTACTAGTAATACTACAATTTTAGTGCGTTAATTTCCTCTTATCAAAATAATAGACTAAGCTTTACATTGATCGTCAAGAATCTTGGAGGACTCAGCTTTGACTTATCAATACTACCACGCAAATTTCAAAAATTGTAGAAGAGTTTACTACTCTCTTATTCATAAAATTCAGCCTGCTTGCTATGGATTCTAGAACAAGCTTGATATACCTGTCTAAACCATTTGGTTATGATTGGTATCCTGAGAGTTTCGCAGACTGTTCTCTTTGAGATGAGAATAAACCTTGGCTTATCTGCCTCCTTTCAGTCTGGTAGCAAATACTAATAACTCTTAGAAGAGAAAGTGGAAGATTTCCATGAACGTTTTGCCCAGATTACGTTTTCAATAAAAAATTATTATTTTGGGGTTTTGGGGTTTTGGGGTTTTGGGGTTTTGGGG